CGGAGCCCCAATGCGGTTTCAGGAAAGGGCGGTCCTGCACAGATGCCATATTTTCTGTCCGTCTGCTACAGCAGAGGTGTAGGGAATTCCAACAAGACCTACATCTCTGCTTTATTGACCTGGTCAAGGCCTATGATACCGTCAGTAGGCCTGGGCTCTGGGTCGTTCTTCGTGCTTTTGGAGTACCTGACCCTCTGCTCACGATCATTAAGGACCTTCATGATGGTGAGCGGGCCCGGGTAAAACTACGTGGCCGGGAGTCAGAGCCATTCCCTGTACACCTTGGGGTGCGACAGGGATGTCCTCTGGCTCCCACATTATTTAACATCTATTTTGACCACGTAGTTCGTGAAGCCTTCAATAGCTGTACCGGGGGAATCTCCATATGGTACAAATATAATGGGAGGCTAATCGATGCCCGGGTGCGGTCAAGGGATGGCTCCCTATTGCTCAACCACGTTATGTATGCTGATGATTTGGTAATAGCTGCTCAGTCAGAGGAGGAGTTGGAGACGCTGCTGCTGAGACTGGAGCGTGCCACTAAGAGGTGGGGCCTTACCATCAGCCCCACCAAAACTAAGCACCTGCCTGGGTATTTTGTACCATCGGACACTCCACCCCCACAACTCCCAATCGGTGATGGGGCAGTTGAGAGAGTGGAGAGTTTCCCATACCTGGGCAGTGTGCTTATGACTGGCTCCAGTTTAACAGCAGAGGTCTCACTCCGAATCAGTCGAGCGGCAATATCTTTTCATCGGTTGCGTAACGCTGTGTGGAAGCTACCTGGTCTGTCGCTCCGCACTAAGCTTCAGGTCTTCTCGGCCACGGTCATTCCCTCCCTTCTCTACGCTTGCGAAACGTGGACCCCCCTAATGGAACATCTTCGCCGGTTAGAAACATTTAGGCTGGCCTGCCTACGATCCATCCTGGGTTTAACCAGACTGGATTGTGTGAGGAGCTCACAAATCCTTGAAAGATCTGGGCAGGGTCCCATCGGTGAGCTCCTCCGGCAGGCAAGGCTGCGATGGCTGGGTCATGTAGCCCGCATGCCCAGCCACCGCATGCCGAAACAGCTTTTGTTTGGCCGGATTGAGGGGGCTAAGCGGGCGCGGCACGGGCTAGAGAAGAGATGGAGTGATGTGGTACAGGAGGACGTGGAGCTGAGTGGACTTGCCGATGACTGGTACCAGCGGTGTCAAGATCGGCCTCTGTGGAGGAGGCTCGTGAAGGATGCTACTGGGCAGTTGGAGGCAGTCGCCCTCCAACAACAACGGAGGGCGGAGGAGCGACGCTCACAACAGCGAGCGGAGCGCCGGGTGGCTAAAGCACAGCAGGTTGGCACAGTAGGGGGCACAGGTGGTGCATCAGCCAGTCATCTCAGTCAGTCGACCCGTGGCACCTGGGTCTGCCCCGTGACCTCCTGCCAGCGGGCGTTCGACACTTCACGTGGCCTCAGGGTGCACATAGCCTGGCACAAGCGTCGTGGTGACGTCACCGCCACTTAGTGGCGAATGGCGGTTGTTGTTGTTGTTGTTGTGTGTGTGAGTGTGTGTGTGTGTGAGCGTGTGTGTGTGTGAGTGTGTGTGTGTGAGCGTGTGTGAGAGTGTGTGTGTGTGTGAGCAAGTGTGTGTGTGTGAGCGTGTGTGTGTGTGAGCGTGTGTGTGAGCGTGTGTGTGTGAGCGTGTGTGTGTGTGAGCGTGTGTGTGAGCGTGTGTGTGAGCGTGTGTGTGTGAGCAAGTGTGTGTGTGAGCGTGTGTGTGAGCGTGTGTGTGAGCGTGTGTGTGTGAGCGTGTGTGTGAGCGTGTGTGTGTGAGCGTGTGTGTGAGCGTGTGTGTGAGCGTGTGTGTGTGAGTGTGTGTGTATCTGAGCGTGTGTGTGTGAGCGTGTGTGTGAGCGTGTGTGTGTGTGTGTGAGCGTGTGTGTGTGCGAGCGTGTGTGAGCGTGTGTGTGTGAGCGTGTGTGTGTGAGCGTGTGTGTGCGTGAGCGTGTGTGTGTGCGTGTGTGGGAGCGCGTGCGTGAGCGTGTGTGTGAGCGTGTGTGAGCGTGTGTGTGAGCGTGTGTGAGCGTGTGTGTGTGAGCGTGCGTGTGTGTGTGTGAGCGTGTGTGTGTGTGTGTGAGCGTGTGTGCGTGTGTGTGTGTGTGAGCGTGTGTGTGTGTGTGAGCGTGTGTGTGTGTGTGTGTGTGAGCGTGCGTGCGTGTGTGTGTGCGCGTGTGCGCGTGTGCCCGCCTACCTGGTGAGCTTCGACGGTGAAGTTCCGCTATCCACCTGGTCCCTGATCTTCTTGGAGGGCTCGGGGGTCATGTCCCGCTTGCTCCCTGCAACACCGTGGGTGGTGGTGGGGGGTTACAGGGGGGTGAGGGGGCCATCGTGAGAGCACGGTCAGCCCCCCGCTCGCCTGCCCCCCCGAGTCGTCGAATCGAAGGTGGTGGCGATGGTGGCGGTGATGGTGGTGGCGGTGGTGGCGGTGAAGGTGGTGGTGGTGGCGGTGAAGGTGGTGGTGGTGGCGGTGATGGTGGCGGTGGCGACTACACCACTGCACACGGCTGCCTGTAATCATCTCCAGCGTTGTGTGAAGGCAGCAGCGAGGGGGTTGGTGCATCACCGCACACACACACACACAGATGGTGATGATGTTGATGTGAAACTCCCTCCCTTACCGTGGGTGGGCGTCGAGAGGAGCTGTACGCCGTGGCTCTCCACGAGATGGCGGTAACAGCAATAAATGTGACACGGCGATCGATCAGTTCCCTCCCTGTCACTCGCTTATCGCTAATCTCATCGTAACCTTTTCCCGTAAACGTTTGAACATGTTGGGGACTCGGTCTACGGTGAGGGAAAAAAAGTATTTGATCCCCTGCTGATTTTTTTTACGTTTGCCTACAGACAAAGAAATGATCAGTCTATAATTTTAATGGTAGGTTTATTATTTGAACAGTGAGAGACAGAATAACAACAAAAAAATCCAGAAAAACGCATGTCAAAAATGTTATAAATTGATTTGCATTTTAATGAGGGAAATACGTATTTGACCTCCTCTCAATCAGAAAGATTTCTGGCTCCCAGGTGTCTTTTATACAGGTAACGAGCTGAGATTAGGAGCACACTCTTAAAGGGAGTGCTCCTAATCTCAGGTTGTTACCTGTATAAAAGGCACTTGTCCACAGAAGCAATCAATCAATCAGATTCCATGGCCAAGACCAAAGAGCTCTCCAAGGATGTCAGAGACAAGATTGTAGACCTACACAAGGCTGGAATGGGCTACAAGACCATTGCCAATCAGCTTGGTGAGAAGGTGACAACAGTTGGTGTGATTATTCGCAAATGGAAGAAACACAAAAGAACTGTCAATCTCCCTCGGCCTGGGGCTCCATGCAAGATCTCACCTTGTGGAGTTGCAATGATCATGAGAACGGTGAGGAATCAGCCCAGAACTACACGGGAGGATCTTGTCAATGATCTCAAGGCAGCTGGGACCATAGTCACCAAGAAAACAATTGGAAACACATTACGCCGTGAAGGACTTAAATCCTGCAGTGCCCGCAAGGTCCCCCTGCTCAAGAAAGCACATATACATGTCCGTCTATAAATTTTACAAAGAACATTTGAATGATTCAGAGGACAACTGGGTGAAAGTGTTGTAGTCAGATGAGACCAAAATGGAGCTCTTTGGCATCAACTTAACTCGCCGTGTTTGGAGGAGGAATGCTGCCTATGACCCCAAGAACACCATCCCCACCGTCAAACATGGAGGTGGAAACATTATGCTTTGGGGGTGTTTTTCTGCTAAGGGGACAGGACAACTTCACCGCATCAAAGGGACGATGGACGGGGTCATTGACCGTCAAATCTTGGGTGAGAACCACCTTCCCTCAGCCAGGGCATTGAACATGGGTCGTGGATGGGTATTCCAGCATGACAATGACCCAAAACACACGCCCAAGGCAACAAAGGAGTGGCTCAAGAAGAAGCACATTAAAGTCCTGGAGTGGCCTAGCCAGTCTCCAGACCTTAATCCCATAGAAAATCTGTGGAGGGAGCTGAAGGTTCGAGTTGCCAAACGTCAGCCTCGAAACCTTAATGACTTGGAGAAGATCTGCAAAGAGGAGTGGGACAAAATCCCTCCTGAGATGTGTGCAAACCTGGTGGCCAACTACAAGAAACGTCTGACCTCTGTGATTGCCAACAAGGGTTTTGCCATCAAGTACTAAGTCATATTTTGCAGAGGGGTCAAATACTTATTTCCCTCATTAAAATGCAAATCCATTTATAACATTTTTGACATGCGTTTTTCTGGATTTTGTTGTTGTTAATCTGTCTCTCACTGTTCAAATAAACCTACGATTAACATTATAGACTGATCATTTCTTTGTCAGTGGGCAAACGTAAAAAATCAGCAGGGGATCAAATACTTTTTTCCCTCACTGTATAGCAGACAATTAATGCCTTCTCGTCCACACTGTGTCCACCACCACCACCACGCTGCAGGCAACAACAACACACCCACTCCCACACAAACACACCCACTCACTCACTCACCCACACAACGATCAACGATCCCCCGTGTAGCCTTAACAGACTGTTGGGGCAAGTGCTGTTAGCGACCACCAAGGCCAGCACGGCACACGAGGGGGTGGGTGGCCAACACCACGCCCGGCCGCCTTTGTCTCCCCAGTGGCAATGTTTACACACCGCACCAGGTATTCATTTGAGGTTGAGTCGACCTAGGGGAGGCCCAGGGACCGCTTCAGATAATCGTCACTGGTGTTGGCCGTGAGCGGGAATCGAACTCGGGTCGCCGGGTTCGTAGCGCAGCGTAGCGCTAACCACTACACTACCACTCCCCACTCACCCACACACCCACTAAACCACACACCCACTCACTTACTCACACATCCACACACTCACTCACTCACTCACCCACACAGACACCCACTCACCTACTCACTCACCCACAGACCCACTCACCTACTCACCCACCCACTCTCACTCACCCACACACTTAACCACCCACTCACCCACTCAATCAATTACTCATTCACACACCCACCCACCCACTCACCTATTCACCCTCCCGCTCATCCACTCAATCACTCACCCACCCACTCACCTATTCACTCACCCACTCACCACACCGCAGGCAACCTCACTTCTCTTCCTGCTCCTTCTCTAGTGCCGCTCAAATTTGGAACTCCCTCCCTCCTCCCAACATCGCCACCATTGTCTATTGCCCAACTATAACAACAACTAGAACAACAATAACCTTTCCCAATCCAAGAAAACGCACGACACTAACCTCTACTGCAGCTTCGACACACACTCACTCACTCGACATACACTCACTCGACACACACTAGATACACACTAGATACACACACACGACACACATACTTGCACACACACATGACACACGCACACACTCGACACACACACACAACACACACTCGACACACACACACACTCGACACACAATTGACACACACACACACAATTGATACATACACTCGACAGACCCACACACACACTCGACACACACTCACTCGACAAACACACACTCGATAGACACACACTCGATACACACACACGACACACACAATTGATACACACACTCGACACACACACACACACACTCACTCGACACACACACACTCGATACACACACACACGACACACACACTTGCACACACACATGACACACGCACACACTCGACACACACTCGACACACACACAATGAATACTCACACTCGACACACACACACATGACACACGCACACACTCGACACCCACACACACATGCCACACGCACACACTCGACACACACACACACTCGACACACACACCCACTCGACACACATACACTCGACACACACACACTCGACACACACACACACTCACTCGATACACACACACACACTCGACACACACACTCACTCGACACACACACACTCGACACACACACACACTCAACACACACACACTCGACACACACACACATACACACACACACAATTGATACTCACACTCGACACACACACACACACTCGACACACACTCGACACACACACACTCGACACACACACACACTCGACACACACACTCGACACACACAGACACACACACTCACTCGACACACACACACACACTCCCCGTCGCTACGACGTTGTGGACGGTGAGCCTCAACACACCTGGCCGCCTCTTCATGGACACTCGGATGATGTCGGTTGCGGGCTCCACCTTGCCACCGAATCGCTTGGCCTTCTCCTCCAGAAACCACTCCCCGGTCTCCACCTTGTACAGCCTGGAGGCGGCGAAATCCCGCGCAAGCAACAGCAACGTTATCCCTTTCGATTCAAACGAATAAAAATGCATTTATATTTTTTTTGACCAGGTATTCTATTTTATTTCGTGATTCACACAGCTGCGCCCATCGCTGAGCCACCACGCAGGTATTTTTTTTTTTCTATCGAGAAGCAACACGGCTATGCGCAAATGACAGACAGCTCGACAGAGCGGCTTCTCCTCCTCCTCCTCCTCCTCTTCCCCGTCGTAATCATCGTCGTCGCGTGGAAATTTATGGCGGTCGCCGAATGCTCTTTAAACTTGCGACGATCGTTCTAAATGTGGAACGGGGACGGGTGGAGTGGGGGGGGTGGACAAGGCGGAGGAACCCCGGGGAGAAAGAAATCCACGCGACCAAGGGGGCAGAGAGAGAGGGAGGCGACACGCAAACTCCAAATATACAGCAGCGGGCGTCAGAGTCGGGGATTGAGCCCACGACCTCGTGTGTACCAGGCGAGGGAGTTAACATCGAATGGCTCCATCTGTGTGATGGACGTCCTCTTGGCCTCACGCTTTCCCTCTGTTGGCTGCCACCACCACCATCATCATCATCACCTCTACCATCATCACCTCTACCATCATCACCTCTACCATCATCACCTCTACCATCATCATCGCCATCATCATCATCACCACCACCACCATCATCATCTCATCTATCTCACTCAGTCATCCTAAGAGTCACCGTGATGTCTGTACCCCTGCGATGGTTTTCTCCCTCCTGTAAACCAGGCGAGGTAGTTGACATCTCCTAGCCACCGTGGCACCCCCACAGAAACAAAAAGACAAAGATTCCCCGTGTAGCCTCAACAGACTGTAGGGGCAAGTGCTGCTAGCGAGCACCTACGAAGGCCGGAACGGCACACGAGGGGGTGGGTGGCCAGCACCACGCTCGGCCGCCTTTGTCTCCCCAGTGGCGATGTTTACACACCGCACCAGGTACTCATTTGAGGCTCAGTCGACCTTGGGGAGGAGGCCCAGGACCGGTTCAGATAATCGTCACTGGTGTTGGTCGTGAGCGGGAATCGAACCCGGGTGGCCGGGTTCATAGTGCAGCGCGCTAACCGCTACACCACCGCTCCCCACACACACACACAGACACGCACGCTAAAACACGCACGCACGCACACACACACGCACACACGCACGCACAGACACACACAGACACGCACGCGCACACACAGACACACACACACGCAGGCACATGCACGCGCACGCACGCACACGCACGCACACACGCACACACACAAACACGCACACACAAACACGCACACACACACACGCACGCACACGCACAGACACACACGCACGCACACGGGCGGAGTGACAAGCGACCCACAACCCCCCTTCCCACTCACGCCTCCTTGTGGCACACGGTGCACTTCCAGGCCTTGCCGTCCGACTTGACTCGGCAGTCGTTGCACACGACGTGGCGGCAGCCGGTGCACGGGTCGCCGCTGTTCATCAGCAGGCCCAGGCCTCTCTGGCAGCGGGCGCACGTCCGCCCCCTGGCCGACTTCTTGACTCCCCTGCGCTTCAACTGCCTCAGCTCCTTCTGCAGCCGCCTGGCAGGGGGAGACGCAGAGGGGGGGGGGCCCGTGGTGGGTTACCGGCGAGGAGGGCGGGGGGGGAGGGGGGGCCCCGTGGTGGGTTACCGGCGAGGAGGGGGGCCTCCGTTGTGACCGACGTCGTTCGTCCGCTGAGGAATGAGCGCTTTGGCGGAGGGCGGGTTCTGGGGGGGGGGGGGGGGGGTCTGGGGGGCCGCTCTGGGGTTGGGGGGGCCGCTCTGGGGGGGGGGGACGCTTTGGGGGGCTCTGGGGGAGCGTTCGGGGGGGGGGGGGGGCGCTCTGCCATTGGACGCGTCTGAGGAAGCCCCCCCAAGTGAGACCCAGCAGAGTGAACCGCCGTTGTCGGCGCGGCGTGGCCGACACGGTTGCTGGCGTGTCGTAGCGCCGGCGCCGAGGCTACGTCACTGCAACTCGGCTACTCTACGGGACGTCTGGAAAAAATGTGTTTCTTTAACAAGCTGCGGCGCGGGTGTAGAAAATGACCCGACGGGCACCGCGAGATCCGACACCGCGTGTCCGCCCGGAGCTCGCCGAGCCGAATCGCCTTGCCGGTTGCCGAACGGGGACGTTGCCACGAGGTCGCCACACACACAATGTGCTCGCCACACGTGCACCACGACGCCTCGCTGGTCTCGTGCAAGGAGCTATGAACCATCGCCATCGCGCAAACTCCGCTCACCCTCGCAGCAGCGGCGGCGGCAGCGGCGGCTTTTGGCTCAGCCATGGAACGGAACCGGCGGCGGCGGTCACCGCATCGCGCGGCGCTTTCAGGCGCGCTGCTGCTGCGGCCGTCTGGAACGCTCTTCCCTTGCGGATATCAGCAAGCCGCTGTGGAGCTGTGCACCTTTAAAATCATCGTCATCTAGATTGACAAACTCGTTTCTTTCTGACTGCTTTTTCGTGCTTAGTTTGTCGTCCCTCCCCGGCACCTCTCGATTAGCGCGGTTGGCTACGTACGGCGCGGCAGAGGTTCGACGTCCACACACACACACAGACACGCAGACACGCGAGCACTTTCACCACCGGCGGCTCGTGAACGGATTGGGCCGATGTCACGGCAAAAACCCTTCCCTCTCGGCGGCCGCCGCGGTTTCGCGTCAAACTTATCGACGTGCCGAGTTCGCCGACCGCGTGCCCACCCCACCCCAGCCCCGCCCCCCCCCCCCCCCCCCCCCCCCCCCCCCCCCCCCCCCACCGCTGCGGCGCCTCGAACATTCGGGGCCGGCCGCGAGATCCCCGCTGCCGCGCGGCCAGCCATGCCAGTCGTCTCAGCCGCCCCGTGCCCTCATCCTGCCAGCGGGCGTTCCGACACTTCACGTGACCGGCCTTGACGTGCACCTGGCCCGGCACGGGCGCCGTGGCGACGTCACCGCCGATTGGCGCGCGAACGACAGCTGTCGCAATCGGCAACTGTTGACGTCTCCCCAGACGGTAACCTAAATTACGTTGGCGAAGGTTTGCCGTGCCGTACGTAGGCCAGTGTACCACCCCCCCCCCGCCCTGCCCCCCTCTCTCTCTCAAGCTATCTTTTAAAGTGGTGCGAGCAAGCAGTTGCGGGCCTGCGCCTTTACCTTTTCTATATATAAAAATATATATAATATATATAAAAAGTAATACTACTATCAATGTCGCGATGTCACCGAGCTGTCAAATACCGGGGGCGAGCGTCACGCCACGCGTGGAATGTCGTCAACGAGGTCCGACCGGATTTTCGTGTCGCTCCCTTGACCGGCCGCGCGAGACGCGGTCCAACAACCCCTGCAGCTTTGGTTTTACGACGTCCTCTTGGGTACCGTGTCACTGCCAACGTAAGTACGTAGCCAACCGTGCGATCACGTGTGTGTGTGTGTGTGTTGAACTTCTTTCGCACCGCACGTAGCCGACCTCTGGCCCCTGCCATGGGAATAGATTTGGTTGCATGGTGACACGCACGCGGCTATGGCTTGTCTTTAATGCGTCTCTCCGGTTCTCTGTAGGTCTCTACGTATCTCTATGTATCTCTGTGGGTCTCTATGTATCTCTGTGGGTCTCTACGTATCTCTGTGGGTCTCTACGTATCTGTTGGTCTCTACGTATCTCTACGTATCTCTGTGGGTCTCTCCTGTTCTCTGTAGGTCTCTACGTATCTCTACATATCTCTGTGGGTCTCTACGTATCTCTGTGGGTCTCTACGTATCTCTGTGGGTCTCTACGTATCTGTTGGTCTCTACGTATCTCTACATATCTCTGTGGGTCTCTCCGGTTCTCTGTAGGTCTCTACGTATCTCTACATATCTCTGTGGGTCTCTATGTATCTCTGTGGGTCTCTACGTATCTCTGTGGGTCTCTCCGGTTCTCTGTAGGTCTCTACGTATCTCTATGTATCTCTGTGGGTCTCTACGTATCTCTACATATCTCTGTGGGTCTCTACACATCTCTGTTGATCTCTACGTATCTCTGTGGGTCTCTATGTATCTCTATTGGTCTCTACGTATCTCTGTGGGTCTCTACGTATCTCTATTGGTCTCTACGTATCTCTTTCGCACTGCACGTAGCCGAACCGTGCTAATCAGAGGTGCCAGTATGTACGTGTGTATGTTGAACTTCTTTCGCACCGTACGTAGCCGAACCCGTGCCGATCGGAGGCGCGTGGGGGAAAGGACAACAAACTAAACACGACAACAACAACAAGGAGCAGTTCTGAAGAAATGTGTTTGTCAATCTAGATGGCGATTTAAAAGTGCATCACAGCTCCCCAGTGGCTTGCTGATATCTGAAGAGCGTTCCAGACGGACCGCAGAATCGCGTCTGAAAGCGCCGCGCGATGACGATGCGGTGACCACCACCTTTGTTCCATGGCTGAGCCAAAATTGCCGCTGCCGCTGCTGCTGCTGCTGCGAGGATGATCGGAGTTTGCGTGATGATTGACGAGATCAGCGAGGTATCGTGGTGCATTTGTGGCGAGCACTTGGTGTGTTAATGAGCGTGAATTATGACGATGTATTCGTTCGGTTTAACACGCGGTACGCTTTCGCGACCGCTATTATCCATAATAAAGGATTTTTTTTTAGGTTGGATGCCGTAAATATCAGTGTGTCATCAACCCCACCCACCACCCGACACGGCCGATCAGTAAGGTTTGTCACGTAAACAAAACCTTTAGTTGCTACTCCAGCAGCGACCGGTTGGTGTGTTGGAGAGTAAGCCCACAACAGCATTCACAATTCGAGTAGCTGGCGACCTATCGCCGGTGATCACAACCGCAGCCAGAAGCAGCAGCAGCAACTACAACGAGCGGCTTCGTCAGGCGGTGAGCCGGAATAGTGACAGCAGCCTCGAGCCGTTTTCGTCCGCAGTCGGTCGGCAACTTTGGCCTGGAGACAGAAGCCCCGGCCGCTGACAAAGTCCGGCACAACAACGGCGCGGCTCTTGCCCCTGACAGCCTGCGAAGGCTACACGGGGGACCTTTGTCCTTGTGTGTGTGCAAGCCACTCACTCACTCACTTACCCACCCACCCACCTACTCACTCACTCACCCACTCATTCATCCGCTCCATTCACTTACTCACTCAACCACTCACTCACTCATCCACTCAGTTACTCACTCACTCATCCATTCACTCACTCACTCATTCAGTTACTCACCCACTCACTCACTTATCCACTCACTCATTCACCCACCCACTCACTCACCCACCCACTCACTCACCCACTCACTCACCAACTCACCCACTCACTCACTCATCCACTCACTCACCCACCCACTCACTCACTCATCCACTCACTCACCCACCAACTCACCCACCCACTCACTCACCCACTCACTCACCAACTCACCCACTCACTCACTCATCCACTCACTCACCCACCAACTCACCCACTCACTCACTCACTTGAGCCTCGTGTCGTCCATCTGCCGCAACTCCTCATCCCTCTTGAGCACCTCGAGGATGGCCTTGCGCTCAGCCTCCGACAAGAATCCCAGCTCCAGCTCCATCCTCCTCCTCTTCCTCCTCCTCCTTCCCTTCCTTTCCTTCCTCACTCCCCCACCTACCGCTGAGCCTCCCAACGAACGGCACCACACTGCTCTCCACGAGACAACGCACAGTCTCCCACCTCCTCGTCTCTCTCTGTCTCCTCTCTCTCCGTGTGTCTCTTCTCTCTGTCTCTATGTGTCTCTCCTCTCTCGCTGTTTGTCTCGTCTGTCTGTCTCGTCTCTGTCCGTCTCTGTCTCCTCTCTCTCAATCCCCCCCACGCCCCCACTCACCCCACCACCAAGTATCAAAACCCGGGCCGAAGGGGTCTGTCCTACTTGCTGTGCACCATTGCCAAACCCCAGAGGTCTTCACCCAACGAGGGCCAGGAGAGTCACCCACAGGGGCCGTCCGCTTGTGTCGAGCAGCCTGCTCGGTTCAACTATCATCTGCCGACTAAGGGTTCTTAAACCAGCACTTCTTGCCTTTAAGAACACCGCCACCGCCACCACCGCCGACGTTCGACTCGTCGTCTGCCTCGTCGTCGTCTTATTGATTAAAAGCGCGGCCGCCGCTCGACAGATTTATCTGCCGCTCAAGAGTGCGATGTGACATTTTCATCGTTTTCATCATT